CTAAAGTAAGAGAGTGGGGAAGATGAAGAAATGTTTGTTTATTTTGATTGTTAAAAAGTGTCCGGGAAATTGACCCTTCCGGAAAAGGGACGTCCGGATATGGGACGTTACACTGTAATACAAAAATAATCGTGTATGTTGCTCTTTTTTATTTCGTTTTTTTTTTTGTGAATATAATTTATCATGCGTGTATCAGAAAGCGTGTATCTCAAAGAAATTCTCAGATTTAACTTTTTTAAACCACTCATTTCGGACGAAATTATTTACATTTGTAAATTTTGTAGCCAGAATTTTTCAATATGCAATTAAATATTTTTTAAAATCTACTTCTTATTTTAATTTGTAATTCAATACTTTTGTTTTGTATAACTTGATAAAAATCTGACAGTAATATTTAGGGCTCTTTCAAACATAAAAGCGTCCTATATAAAATTTTGATAAAGTTGTGGCCTGCCATTTGACTGGTTTTTTTAATTGGGGCCCCAGGCCTCATGTAAGTTGGAAACCCCTGATATATATTCCAAAATACCTAAATTTTTTTATGACTTAAAATATAATAGAGTCAAAATTTAGTAACATAAGAACAACGTCAAATTAAAGTTTCTGATTGGTATTTATAATATTACTTAATTAGTCATAGTTATTCTCCACTTCAATATATAATTCACAATTAGCACATAATTGAACTTAATGAATTAAAATATACTTCAAGTCAAAAAAGATTATACAATACACATTGAATATCATACATAATGAATATTATTACAAAGTACATTCTTTAAAAAAAAATAAACGATGGTTATAATTAGGTACAAATTACAAAGATAAATTACCTGTGATGGCTTTGTCTATCAAGTCTCGAACTTCTGGGCTATTTTCTTTGATATCTAGGCCTAAATGTTGTGGTGTTATCCAATTTAAATTTCGAATTCTCTTTTGTAAAGCTAAGTCTTTCTCTTCATATTCTGATGTGATCTGATGAGTTATATTTCTGTGCATATGACTCATTAGCTGCTCTTCTATTTTGTCAAGTAGTAAATCTATCTGTTCAGGGGACATATCTAAAAAAGGAGTAAAAGTAAGTAAGAAAAACTGTTCAAATTATAATAAATTATTCCATATGTCACTTGAAATATATCATAACAAAATGAAACAATTAATTTATTATAAAATAGATTGCTTTTTTATTAAAACTTCTTTTTACGGTAAAATATCCAACAAATATTATAAGTCATACCAACATTTGTTTTGTTGACCAATTTAAACTTAAAATTTAAAAAATTTGTAAAAATAGATAAAAAGCCATCAATTGATAAATTTTTATTAAGAGCAATGTATATATTAGATCATAAAATTTCTCAGCTTGGAAAAAAAAAGCTTTAAATATTATTTGGTTAAAAAGTTTACTCAGTAGTTAAAAGTGAAAATTTTAAAGATATTTTATTAAATTACTTGATGTCCAATAAATTATACCAGTAAAAAGAAAAAAGAATAGACACTGTTCACAATAGTGTGGGGATCAAACTTAAAATTTGAGAGAAAAAGTTATTTTAATTATATGTGGCCAGAACAGTTGATACTATAAACTATTTTATATCACAGATATTACCTAATATTTACAAGTTCCTTTTCTCAAGAATGTAATTATACCTTTATAAGCAATATGACTTTCAGCTTGGTTAAACATTAAACTATAACAGTTAAGCAGAGCTTCAGCCTGTTCCTCAATGAATTTGTCATATTATTTTTGTATAACATCCATATGCTACTTCATGAATTTGGACACATTTTTCATGACAGAATTTTTAACTAAAACTGACTGAATTATTCATGTCATTTAAAAATGCTATAAGAAAATTTTGCCTAATTAAGGAAAAAATGATTAATTTTCATTACAATTTTTTTTTCTTCTCAAGAATGCCTATACACTTTTATAAGCACTATGAATTTCAGCTCGGTTAAACATTAAACTATAACAGTTATGCAGAGCTTCAGCCTGTTCCTCAATAAATTTGTCATATTATTTATGTATAACACCCATTAGCTACTTCATGAATTTAGACACATTCTTTATGACAGAATTTTTAATTCAAAATGACTGAATTATTCGAGTCATTTAAAAATACTATTAACTTTTTTAAACAGATACAAATAATTTTGCCTAATTCAGAAAAAAAAATTAATTTTAATTTAAAAATGTCTTTTTCTAAAGAAAGCTTTTATACCTTTATAAGCATTATGTGTTTCAGCTCTGTTAAACATGAAGTTGTAATAGTCATGCATAGCTTCAGCTTGTTCATCAATAGATTTGTCATAATATTTTTGCATAACATCCATTTGCTGCTTCATAAATTTAGACACATCCTTTATGACAGAGTCTTTAATTTGTAAATCTTTACTTAAGGAATCACCAGCTGGAAAAACATCCTTTGAAGGAGACTGAGAGTTACTTTCTGAAAATAGACCAAGTATTAATAATTATGAAGTATGAATAATTTAATCATTGTGCTTTTAAGTTGTGTGTGAAAGCAATCTAAAAAAATTTTATTTTGTTTCTCTGAAATCAATTAAAACAGTAGCATGATTTTTCAACAAAAAATAAGCACCTTTTAAGTACTTTTTAAGTACTCAAAAAATATTTTTAATCACTTTCCAAAAAAAAAAAAAAAATCATAACTAGGATCTGTGCAGTAACAAAAATGATTTTTTTCTATCGTTTAAAGTTCTTAATTTGAAAACATAAAATCAATAAAATTCAAAAACATTTTCAAAAACTTTACATAATCATGATAAAATTACTAGTTTCTGATAAATATTGCAGAGAAAATTATAAAAATCATAAATTTTTTGTCATTTAGAACGACAATCGATACAGCAAAGAAAAAATCTCTTTTTAGAAGATAAAAAATTAAGCACTTTTTACAAACACCAAATAAAAAAAAGCAACCTTTAAGGGCTTTTAAAAAACGTAAATCAAAAATAAGCACCTTTTAAAATGAAGAAGGTAAAAACAAAAGAAATGTAATATAAAGAAGCAATAAAAATACCAGATAAAATTATTAAATGTATTCAAGTGATCTAAAATATTGTTGTTGGCTCCCAATATTTTAATAAAATTTTACCTCTTTTTTTAACTTGTAAATCTGTATATTTCAGAGAGAGTTTTTTTTTCTTCTTTCAATGTAACATTCAACTAATAAATTACCTATGAATATTATGAACACTTAACTTAATGATTAGTATCTAAAAATGAATTCTTCTTAAAAAATCTTTGTTTTTAAAACAGTTTAGATTGTCTCATTGCTTTCACAAAGTTCCCTGTTCAAACACAAAGAGGATTAACAGTGTTGTGTAATCTCTGGCTCAAGGAGCAAAACTGAACCTGATTCATTGTAACTTAAATATAATATGATAAGGTTATTTAATTTGGCATATTTGAATGTTATGTCGATGCGTAAAATCATTTTAGCTTTTATAATGGTGTGTACAACAAAATTGTATACTAAACTTATGATCAATGTATTCATTTTTAGATACTATTAAAATAAAAACAAAACTTGTTTTCAATTTCTTAAGAGCTATGGGCATAGGGGACAGTGGATATACGTCCCCTTGAATAGTTACAAATCTTTATAAGTCCCCCTCAATATTTCAGATAAATAAAAAAAATTGAGGAATTGTCATTGCTTTAAAGCCATTAAAATAAAATAAAAAAAACAAAAAGACAAAAATAATTATCTTTTTGCAGATTTAAGAATTATTTTTCTAATACCGTAGAGTACCAATTATCCGAGTTTCTGTTTTAACCGAGCTATAAAATAGTTCAGGGAATTTTTTGTTCTAGTTTATTTTTTATTTTTAAAGCTACCCCCGAAAAAAATATATAAATTTTATCTTCCAAGCACTCAAGAAAACGAAATCCAACAACTTTATCTTATGAAATGATCGTTAACATTGTCAATAATGAAAATGAATCTAGAGAAGGTGATGAAGAGACAGCGACGATGAAAATCAACATATAAAAATCTCTCATACAGATGGACTAAACGCTATTGAAAGTGCTACTGAATACATCGAACAACAAGAAGAGGCGACACCAGCCTTACTGTTGTCCCTAAAAGAATGGTAAAATATTGCTGCACAAAAGCGCTTAAGTAATGTAAAACAAAAAACAACTAAGAACTTTTTTAAGTAAAAACTCTTTAAGTGTTTTTATTTTAATTATAATATGAATTGTATGTGGTGTACTCGTATAAATTTTGTATTTGTTAAATATATTACATTTAAAACCTACGCTTTTTCTTTCCTTTTTTATTCTCTTTGCTTTAACCAAGTTTTTTGGTTATCCGAGTTAGTTGTGTTCCATATTAACTCGGATAATCAGGACAATACTGTACATGAAATTTCGGAAACTATCTGGATAGTGTAATTAAACATTGTCTCCCTAAAAAACTGGGCCTCAGTGACATCCACGCTAAAAACAAATGGTTGTTACACTACTTTCCATTCCACAATATGCTAGATTTGAGTTTTTTTTTTTTTTTTTTTTTTTTTTTTTTTTTTTTTTTGTAGACCTCCATATACATAGCAAAATTGAGATTTGAATTTATCTTGATGTTAAAAATTTATAGGATTTAATGTAAAAAAGTATTAAAAATGAAAAAAAACTAGAAATAAAAATTGCAAACAAACTAATTTAGCTAAATCTAAACTAAATAAATAAATTTTATTATTTTGAAAGTAATCAAAATAATGATAAATTTAATGAAAGACATAATAAAAATCAAAGTATTTCATATTTAAAATCACACACATTAATCTTTGAGATTAACATTTTAGTAATTAAAACAATCAAAAATTTAGCATATTTAGAAGAGACAATGCAATACAAACAAAAAACTTTTTTTTTTAATCTCATAAAATTTTTTAAGCTTTACTTACAATTTCAAAGTTATCATAATGAACAGTAATATTTGCAGTTTTTTTTAATACAGTAGAGAACCAATTATCCGGGATGCTCGGGACCATCGCTATCCCGGATGTCTGAATTTCCCGGTTTTCTGGATCGACCAAAAAGTGTCGTTAATCGATGTTTTATCGAACCCGAATTACAAGGAAAAAGTGTAATGCATAAAGTAAGAGAAAAAAGAAAAGTACTCTTAACATTAAAAAGAAAAAAAATGGTAAAAAAATAATATTTAAAAGAATAAAAAAATTTGCAAGTTTAGACAAGAAAAACAAGATTAAAAAATACAAAATTCTCGTATTTATTTTCTAAAAATAATTACAATTCCTAAATTAACTAATATAAACAAAACCAAAGGTTAAATAACGCGATATATTTCGTACCTAATTATACGGGGGAAACGATAAAATAAAAGGAAAACTTATTAATCTAATTAAAAACACTTGAAAATTATCGAACCGAAACGATAGTTAAAAAAGGCACTAGCATAAATATTGAAACCCGGAACAAGGCAAGATCAACGGAATTTTAAAAAAAAATCTAATGATAAAATTTCTGAGTAAAAAGAATTAATTTATTGAGTGCAAAATTTATTGTGAAAAGAAAGAAAAAAAAATCAAACGTAGTGGAATCAGAAAAACAAAACTAAAATCTGCTTCTTAAAATAATCCTATGTTTAAATTAATAAACAATTCTCCTCTTATTATTATTATTTTTTTGTTGTTGATAAAAACTCGATATTTAATTACAGCAGATGTGATTCCACATCAATAAAAACTTGCAAATGAAACCGCACTTGAATTTATTCAGAAGAAAAAGATTTTATTTTTATTAACCGATGTCAAATAGATAAATATATTTTTCTTTTTCATCTTCTGTTCACTGATATGCATGCAATGCATTTTCCCTACCCCCCCTCGTAAATTAAACAGAAAACGAAATCAGCATGCCACACCCTTGAGCTTGATTGACGGCCTAAAGGAGAAAATAAAACATTCCTCCCTTCCCTGCCTTCAAGGTCACGGAGGAAATGACGTTTCTCTGAGTAAACGGGGGAAAAAATTCTCCCCTTCCTTACATTTTCCTCTACTCAGCTTCAAGGATGAGTTCATTTCCGCTTTTTTTCATAATTGTTCTAGTTTAAAATGGCGGGAAAACCGATCAAAAATTTTCCCGGTTTTCTGGTTTCCCGGTTATCTGGATACCGGATAAATGGTTCTCTACTGTACTTACAATTATATTTTACCAACTCATACATTAGAAAAGTAGTACAAATTTTAGATTTAAAAACATTTTGAATTAGAATTACATTTTCAAAATATATAAGTGATGAAAGTAAAATACCTTTCAGTGTATGACCTCTTTTTATAATAGTCTTCAGTGTATTGGCACGTTTTTCAGTTTGCTGTTTCTTTTTTTCTTCAAATTTTGAGAAACCTAAACTGAGTGTACTGTCTTGCACATCACTGTAGCTTCGCTGAACTCTAAATTACAATTGAAAAAAATATAAAATACTTTCAAATTTAAAGCTTGATATCGAGTAAAAAAACATACCAGATATACAATCGAACCTTGTTAATGTGAATTTATTTGAACGGGAACTAATTTTTGATTCCCCGTTAAATTTGATACAGATATAAAGCTTTAAACTACTTTTAACATGAACATGCTTAACGTGAACTAACTTTTAAGGTGAACACAAACTTCATTACCCTTGGAAAATATTTTGCTTTTAATGTGGACAGAAAATTAATTTTCCCTCTGACAGGTAAGAAAGTTATCATTCACCATTCTATATCTATAAAAACGGTCGGGATAGCCTAATCGATAGGGCACTGGGCACATGTCTGAGAGTTCAGGGGTTCGAACCCCGCCAGACGAAGACTCCCCGTGTAGTAAAGTGACTGATGCACGTTAAATCTGTCGAGTCACAAAAGTCCTCCATGTTCTCAAAACAAATCAAAACCTCTGGGGGTTCTGGATTGGAGATCGATGTTCTCTAATTGAGGTCAAAATTAAGATCAGTGGATGAATGTGTGAATGGTTCCGCCCTATAAAACGGGCTGTGACGAGTGTGTGTGGCTGAAGTCGAATTCTTGGCTATAGGATGACGCCACTGAAAAACAAGAAGTGCACACTCTGCCTTAAATTTGCTCGGTTTCACCAAACAGGCTCCCCTGTGTGGCAAGTGGGATTAGAAGCATATCTATAAAAACAGGTTTTTTGAATGAGTGTTGATAATTGCAACAATACAGCAGCCAAGAGAGAGAAATGTATGAAACGAATCTGTTGCGAGGGAGGGGGAATCACAGGAAACAGCATAATACCTTTTGTACTCTAATATGAATAGAAGTTTTCATATATGTGAATTTAAGGAAGTGTGTTTTCCTGAGAAATGACCATCCATATTGATATATACTTTGTTCGATATGGGTAGTCATTTCTCCCACACTCTCATAGGTTATTCTGAGAACTTGGTACTGTTGAATTGCATTTTTACAGGTGAAGATGTGTTAAGCTAAAATTTTTTCTAAATTAAGCTAGCAAATAGTTTGGTTTACCTTCCTCTGATAGATGATTATGAAACAATTACAACTGTAAATTCTTTTGCAGTGCAAAATGAAAATTCGAATAATTTTTTTTTGATACAGTTGATAAGTTAGAACACTTTCAAAAAGCATGTGTGAATAAGAAAGCAAAACAGAGAATATTACTAATTATTTTGTTAGTAATCAACTCTAATTTGTGCAATGAACCAGTTTATTCTTATTAGTTAGTTACTTTTCAGTAATTTTTTTATTTGCATAGTTGAAAAAAAGAAAAATAGAACACTGAAAGTAAGTACACTCATTGTGTTGTTTATATTCAGGACAAAAAAGAACACGCTTTGGCTTTATGATTGACTAACAGTTAACTTAGCTACATCAAAAAAGAAAATTTGACTAGTTGTCCATGGCAGCAATATTATGGTTGTAAATGGTAACAAGGTGCTCACACATGAAATATTATTGACGAGAAGTTACAATGAAAGAAATTACAATGCGTATTTGTGAAGAAAGGATGTATGTTGATAATCTGTTATTAAAATTCTGTGTCTAATTTGATTCTACTTCATTGTCTGGTTGTTAATATTCTCTATAGCAATCAAAATCACAAGCAAATTGAAAATTTCACAAATAACCTGTTAATTAAACAAAAAATGCAGGATAGTTTATTTGCTTATTCAATTGGTTGTTACTGCTGGCAACAGATCGACCATGTTAGTAGATAGATACAAGAATTAATGCGAGCATAGATGTTTTTATACTTCAAAAAAAATTTAAAAATTTACGTCTTAAAATTGCCTAAATTTAGTTAAAAAATGAATATTATTTACACAATAATTATTTAAATCAAATATCAAGTTTTAATGAAATGTCAATTTTAAATATAAATTAAAAAAGTAATTTTTAATAATAGGTTGGTAAATTTAAATAATTTAAACATAAAATATTTAAAAAAAAATGGTAAGTTTAATACTACTAAAAATTAGTGTACTTTAAGTCAGCATCAATTTAATTTCAAAAAAGTAATAATTACTAGTTAAATGATAAAAAATACCCTGCTTCATGAAAAAATTTATCATTTGATTACACATGGAAATATCTACAAATAATTTAAAATCAAGTCTCACTTTTTTGAAGGCTTTTTTCGAAGAAGGCTTTTTTGATTGAGCTCTCTATAGCATTTAGAGCAGTATCCTTGCCATTCTGGATTACCAAAAAATCCACAATCATTTTTACACATTAAATCTGTTGTTTGAAGTGTTCCTATATGCTTGCTTTTACCAGAGAAGGACATAATGACAAATAAATTTCCTAGAAATTAAAATATAAATCATTAGATTACTATTAGTTGCAAAACTAAGCTATACACTTCACTAATTTGGAGATCAATAAATTAATAAAAATCTGTTAATTGCATATCTAAAACAACACATATTTTTCAAAAAATATAAATAAAAATAAATATGCAAGTAATGTTTTATTGGAATAATTTTATATATATTTGAGTTAAACTTCTTTATTCATTCCAATCACTTTAACATGATGGAATATGAATAATTTCAGAATAAAAAAAAGCATGTTTCTTTTTAAATTTACTTATTCACTTTTAATTCTAAACCTTTTCTTGCAAAAATGGGAGTTAATGAAAGTGGTACATGTCAAATAATGTAAACTTGTAGCCAGACAAAAAAAGTTTTAAAAAATGCAACCAGTGTTTTAAAACTAAATCCAAGCAATTCCAGAAAAAATTGAACACACAAGTTTTTAAAAAAAAAATAAATAAAAACAATTTGTATGTTTCATTCATATTCTATTCATATGAATAATTCACATCACTTTTAAAAACTGAATGCTTATAAATTGTTATATTAGTATTACATTAAAATAAAAAACTAAGAAAAAAATCAATTTTTTTTTCAAACTGTCTTTTTTTGATCAAAAGCTTTCCATTTAGACTTAGGTTGAGTAACTCCAAAGAGCAGGGCACATCGACCAGAGGTCTATTGTACCCAAACCCTAAATCATGATTAACAAGAAAGCTTTATAGCTGAAATAAAGTTCAGCAAACACCTGACAGGCATATCTTGCAGTTCCGAGGCCTTAATGCAATGTTGCCTAAATGCTCAAATCTTTGAGCAGAATATACCTCAAATCGCAAAGTATATGTGAGGTCTCCTCCTCAAGATGACAACCTCGATAAAGAGGATCAGATAAAACACTCATTATGTATAGGTGTCTCCTGAGCGTGTAGTGTCCAGTGAGAAGACTAATGATTTTCTTCAAACTGTTCCTGTTTAGTTTAGGAAGCTATTTTTGACGTACACGTACACTAGGACATACACGATTCAGCTCTTTAGCCTGTCTCTGATCAACGGAGTTGTGCCACTGCTCCTGGGCAATTTTGCCAAAGAACTTGAAAATAAATGCCCTGAATAATGTTGGAGAGATTCCTAAAGTTGTTTAATGGCCCCAGAAATTCGGACTAGAGCCTAATTTGTCAACCAGCTCATTTCCATGAATATCCATATATCCAGGTACGCAATGCAGGCATACCTTGTTACGAGTAGAAAGGTCACAGAGGAGCAAGAAGCACTCCCACATTAGTGAAGAGGTGAATTTACACCTTGATAGTGATAGGAGAACAGCAAGAATGTCAGAAGAGATGTGGATAGGAAGCTTTCCGTTTAGTCTATGTAGTAGATTGTGCCAATTAAATATATTTTTAATTTATTGCAAATAGAAGTGTTCGACGATGATGTTTGCGACGAACATAAAAATGTCTTCCGATAGAAAAATAAAAACTAAATATGAAATTAAAAATTTAATTAATTTTTTTAAATTTTGGCTCAGTTTTCAAACTTTAATGAATCTTCATTCTTTTTTTTTAATTTTTAAGATAACAGTTGAATAAGACAATGTTTAGAATCTATGAATAACTTAAACAAATTATCAAATATTCTTCCAAATCACTAAAGCTTTCACCAGAAGAATCAATTAGCAGCTTATCACTCATAAAAGCAAAAATAATGAATTTAAAAATAAAAAATTTAGAATTAAAATAGATATCTTTCTGAACTATACTATTATGTATTTATATTTTAAATTTATATTCTTCTATTAAACTTGAACAATTACTGAATTCAGGAGAAATATTAATGTTTTGAATTCAGATATTAAAATTTGATTTGATGAACGAAACATAATTTTACGAGAAAGAAATAATAATTCATACATTCAACTTTCCTAAAAAGGTATAAAACAATGGTAAGAAGATGGAATTAATATGAACATTGGTAAACATAAATAAAAGCAGTCTGAAAACTAAAATAATATGGGTAAAAGAAAGAAAGGGGTTATCCCTGTTTTAGATAAATATGATAAAACTCTGAACCTTTATAAACACAAATAGTTACAATAAAATCATTCTTATCTAAATTATTTTCGCTTCTACTTTAAATCCCTATAGTTAATAATAGTACAGAATAAGCTATTTTTTTCATGCGACAGTTTGAAAGCATTTAACACAGTTGATTCAGAAACAATTTTACAACGAAACGTTCCAAGTTCACAATTTCAAAGACATTTTGAAAAATATTTGAAATCTAATTGCTTATCAGGATGATACATAATAGATTAGAAAAATATTTTAGATAAACTAACAGTCACTATAACGATCTTCCAAGTAAAACTGTACAAAGGAAAGTTTCTTTCTTCCAATACTATAGCTATGGATAATACCTGATAACGCTCAATCACATGTCTAGTTAAATTTTATTAGCAATGAGTAATGTTATTACGGGAAATGAAAACAAATCAAACCAAATATAGAAAGGGAAACAAACAATGAGAAAGCAGACAGTTCGTTTCATAATGCCACCAGTATGAAATTATTGTAATATGCAAAATTCAAATTCAAATTAATTTTTGTAATAATAAATCTATGCCTGAAAAGAAAATTATGTGGAATTTTTATGTAAAATTAAGGTTTATTTTAAGATTCAAGGAAATCTTTCAAAATAAAAATGTGAGTAGAGTTATCGTTTTGACTGTAACTGTGATCGTTAGATTTGTTTGTAAACAAACTTGCTCATGAACCACGAACTTTGATTGAAACTCTATTTTAAAGAAATCGTTCTTTCAAAGAGAGAGAAAAAAATATTACTGAGGCTTGTATAAAAATCTTCCCGAATAGAAATTTAGTGTTAATTTTCATTTAACTGTAAAGGCGAACATCTTATTTATTTCTCTTAGTAAATAATCTTGATAATGAATTACGAACATAGCTTGAAACTATTTTGAAGAAATGGTTCTTTTAAAGAAAATTAATGAATAGATTTTTAAGAAATCATAGTCATTTAACAAAGTAATTAAATTTTGTAGTAGGATGTTTTGAATTTAGAAATTAAAGTCTAAAAATTTCTTTTTATTAGACTAGCTATCTATTATCAAATATTAAAACTAGTTGGAAAAAAGATACATGGTTAGTTGTTTTACTCTAATGTAATGAGTTTTTTATATGGGGAATATTTCCATAGCGTGATCTGCTGCGCCAACAACAATTGCCAAATAGATATTAAAGTTGCAAATTTAAAAAGAAATTTGTTTTGATTTATCTGGGACTGGCTACGAGTTATAAGGAAGTTATCCATGTCGTGGTCTCCAAAGCTAATCAACGGGGAGATTTCCGTATCGTGATTTGTGGCAGAATTATCGCCAAGTCTTGGAAACTTCCGGGCAGTGGCCTGCGAGGAACTAAAAAAAAACATCACAGAAAGGGACCAACTCGTAGTCACCCCCGGGCAAACATCAGCATGTTTTTTTTTAAAAAAATTGCAAGTTTAAAATCTATTTGAGACCTTGACGATTGTAGTTGGTGCGACAGATCACGATACGGAAATATCCCGTAACTCGTAGCCACACCTGGACAAACTTCTAAATGATTTTTCAAAAAAATCGCAGTTTAAAAATTCATGGGGATATTTCAATATTGATACCTGTTCACAACAATTAACATCAAGGTGTCAAAGGATTTTTGTAATTGCAATAATTTCAATATATACATATATATATACGTATATTTAAATTTTTGCAAACACAAAATTCCCTTTGTGCCTTGTTTGTTACGAAATTTTAAAGATTCCGATTCAATTTTAGAATCTCTTTATTGCTTATTTTCTGTTACCATTCATTTCCATTTATTTCTCTTTGTGTCTGTCTCAACCACCTGAGTGTTAGTTCTGGCTTTTTCTGAACTTTCAGTAGATTTCCTGCATGAAAACGAAACAGTTTCTCAATATTATTGAATGGTAAAATAGTGCATAGCGGAATTTTTTTTTGTAGTTTTATCCCATGGCTCAACACTTGAATTATTAAACAAATTTAGAGAAAGTGTTTTAAAAATTATTTTCTCCATTTTTGGATGTTTACAATCAAGCAGCATATTTCAAGATTTGATTAGTTTTTCTTTCTATAAACTTAATTGAAAGTCTAAACTGTTCAAGACAAAATAATTCAATTTCAACATTTCATTATTATTTTGTTCCATAAACTTAACTCAAAGTCTAAACTGTTTTAGTTTTATATATTAGTTATTATAGCATATCTGATCCTTTTTTCAGTAGAATTTTTAAAAAAATAAGCTGTGTCTGTTTTCTAATTCCTTATTTTTTGTAGCATGACAAGATGAGTTCTGATACAAATGAAGATTTGTCTGTGGAATCTCAAAATCCTAGTATGTCTCACAAAGAAGCCTTAGCTTATGTCGAAAATGGTCTTAATGAACTTATTACAACTGACCCCTTACTTCAATACTTACCATTGGGTGTTACCCTTGAGGAACTGAACTCTATGTTAGCTTTAGAATATGGAAGAGCCATGACTGTAAAAGTTCGCAGAGCTGATGGAGAAACTTATTCTGTAGTTGTTGAACCAAAAGCCACAGTTATGGACTTAAAGAAAGCAATCCAGAGGCATGTTACACTGAAACTGGTAAATGATGTTTTATAATATTATTTACTTAACATGTTTGCAGGTGAACTGTTGTCTCAGCATGTAATGGTCAATATAACCGGAGCTAGCGTAAGATTAGCAGCAAAGATGTTCCTATAAAAGATATAATTACGCAAAAAAAATTTTTTTTTTAATTTATATTTCAATTCAAATCTTTATTGTTTTAGCACTAATACTTTAGTATTTAATTTAATTTTAGCAGTCTTAATAACCTTTGTTCTAATGATCTGGTTTTCATGAACTAAAGGCCAATTTTAATGCTTTGAAGGAATGACATCAAATCAACTGATTTGAATTTTTGACCATTTTTCAATTAACTTAAAAATTTCTTGATATATGGAAGAATACGCAAAAAAATAAATTCAACATTTGGGCGTCCGAACTTCAGATCACTGTGGGGACCATATTTCCCAGATTGTGGCTTCCCCCTATATTTTGGCGGATAGAAATCAGAATCCTTCAAAAGAAAAGGTATGTTTATTCAGAGAAAATACGATTTTGTGTCTGGTTTTGTAACTTAAAAAATTGTCTGCACTAATTAATTAGCATATTTGAGGTCAACCCCTTGACTTAGTTAGATTGAGTTCTAGAACCTGAATATCCGATCATTAGATCAAAAGTTGTTCAGGGTGGTTTGTTTTTTATTTTGTGCTCTGTACATGATAAGCATTTATCACACCAAAAAGTCTTCAAAAATGAAAGTTTGTGTCCTTCCTTGTACATCTCAAAAGTATTTTTAATTTTTACTTATGTGCAGCTAATACAGCTATAGCTTACTTATTATTACAGTACATTTATTATGATGTTATTATTTTCTTTAACCCCCAATTTACTTTACTGCTTTCTTTTTTTTTTATGTATCAATTATGGTTGCTATTGAAACGTTTAGTTGTTATTATGTGGTAAACAACTTATTCATTTGAATTGCTTGTATATTGGTGAAATTATTAGCTTTAATAATTTCTCTCTCATTCTCTTTTTAAGAAATGTTTTAGCTAAATTTTCCTTGAAACCCATATTGCAATATGATAAAATTATATAGTAAAATTCAAAATCTGGTACATTCTTGCACTATTTTTACTGTCAGAAAAAAAACTTGTTGGAATTTTTAAAAAAAATGACGTTTGTGTTACTAATTTAAACCATAATTCAGCCTAACCGTAATACTATACTTTTTTTTAATCCTATATAGTATAAAAGTGTTGATTTTAGCAGTTATTCAAAATCTAAACTAAAATATAAAATTTTCTAATTATTCAAAAGCATAATAATTTACATAAAATTTCTATTATTTTGTAAAATCTACTGCATTTAGCTATGTATATTGTTGTTCATATCTAATGCAATGAAGTTTTTTATGCAGCTAGTTTTTTACTTATACAGGGTGCGTAGCGTTTGTAAAAAGTACTTAAAGGTGCTTTTTTGGGGATTTCGTTTTTAAAAGCTTTTAAAGGTGCTTTTCTCAGCTGGCGTTTTTAAAAAGTGCTTTTTTTTTCGAATAATTTTTTTCCTTCCCTTCAGTGATATCTGGTGGATCCCATGCATTTCACGAAAAATGGGTAGTTTGCTACGTAATCATTCACACGGACTTCATGTCGTACCCACGTTATGACTTGCGCATGAGCGCACTCTTGAAACCGAAACCCGAGTGCTCCAATTCGGATAGAGAATATCAGATCCTTATGAAATGTTTTTCTTTTTAATTTATTTTAATTTTGTTCTTGCTTATTTTATTTTACTTCTAACACTTTTTTTGACGTAGGGGGTAAGGGTACTTTTGTTCTGAGTTCAGAGTCAAGTTGAATTCACTCGGTGATGTGGGAAAGTACTGATTGTTTCGATTTACACCTGTTTCTTTTCTTTCTTTCTTTTTTTTAACGCTAAAACTGTTTATAAAAAGTTTTTGTTTTTCAATAATATCATTGATTGAATATGAATTTTTTGAGTGCTTGAAAATTTTTGTAAAGTGCTTGAAAAGTTTTTAAAAAGTGCTTATTTTTGATTCAAAGATTTGGCTACGCACCCTGTTATATAGTTAGTTTTTTTGCTTATTATTTGAAATTATATTTGTTTAAAACTGCAGATTTAATTAGGAATGTAATGTTTTCAAATTTATTAAAATTATTATATTTTACCAGTACTGAATAGCTATAGATAAATTTTAAACATTCAGATCTGGGTAAAGTGTAAGTTAACATTCTCTCTTCAAATGATATTCAATATATATATATGCTTTATGCTACTAGGTACACTAATCATATTTTCCTTAATTTTTTTATGGTATTAAATAAATTAAAATGTATTCCATATTAGTCCACCACTCTGTCCTCCCCTGCATAAATTCATCGCTTTTGCAGACCTCCGCTTATTACTGCTGTCTTTGGCACTGTTGGCTTATATCCTTTTCATTATTATTTGTAGGTGAAAATTGGGAGGTTACAAATCTTCCTCACAATTATCTGCCGTGACCAGCAGCCCAACCATTTATACTTATTTACTTTGTTGTCCTGTATAGTTGTCTGTCTGCATAAATTCAACTTATTGCAGCATAATGAGTTGAAATCGTGACAAAAACATGATGGTTATTTGTGGAAACATGGTATTTGACGCAGCTGTCAATTTGTTTAATTACACTTAGTTTACTCATTAGTTATAAAATATCAAGTTTTTTTGTCTCATTAAAAGCATATACTTTCAAAATTAAAACTTTTATCGTGGTAAAAACACGTTATTTAACATTACTGTCAATTTTCGACTAATTATCCGTCATACTTACCAATACAGAAATCAAACTTTTTTCGTCTTTCTTTATGTCTGATAAGGTCACACATGGTCCAATTTTGAAACTTTATCATTGGAAAAATCCTGTCGCATTACTGTCAATTAGGCTAATCACTCCAATTATTACAAAATATCCTGATGTTTACGAAATATCGAAAGTTTTTCTACCTACTTCAGAAAATACGTGATCAAATTTGAAACTTCAATCTTGGTAAAAACGTGTTCTCTAGCATTACTGCTAATTAGGATAATTACACCAGTAATTACAATATACCAAAATGAATCTGTTGAAGGTTTTATTATTATCTCATAAAGAACACATAACCTAAATTTAAGGCTCCTATCTTGGTGAAAACGTGCTATTTGGCATTATTGTCAACTAGGCGAAATACCCTGATAATCACAAAATATTGAAAATAAACTTTTTTAGTTTCTCTGCTTATCGCATAAAGAACACATGTTCCAAACTTTAGGTTTCTAGCTTTGTGAGAGGATTACTAAGGCTCTGCCTTTTTATATATACAGACCAAAGCCATGTTTATTTAGGTTTTATCATTACTCATACTTAGATACTTAGGGCTTAACTATTTTAGCTGTCATTCCTATTTCCGAATGTTTCAAATAAAATGCTTTTTTATTTAAGCGTGTACAGTTGGCTATAATTATTTTTTAAATGAATAAATAAAATAAAAAAATTATTTTAGTACTTAAACTAATAATTGCTATTTATTTTTTCTAAAATAAATTCTGTATGAAGAAATAATTTTATTCTAATACTTTTAAGCAACTTTTTAATTATAAATGTTTATACACATCCCTGACCTTTAAAAAGAAATATATAAGTAATATAAAAGTTATTAGGTATGAATAAAGCGATTGTTGTGCCAAATTAATAGCAACGTTGTGCCAAATTATGAGTAAGGCTATATTCTGTTCTAAAGTAAATCTTAAATTTTAGGTCAATGAAAATTTTATTGAAGAATTGGAAAGTAAATCATATGAAGACGTATCTGCAAATTTTATTGAATTTCATAACTACTTATGCTTTGTGTGCTTTAACTTTAAACTTTTATTTCTTATAAATGTTCTTTTTTTCTACAGAAAAGAGAAGGCTGTGAACGAATTATCAGTTGGAGGTATATCTGGAGAACCTACTGGCTTTATCATGCAGGGCAAAAATTGGCAGAGAATGATAAACCTCTAAAATTTTATGACATACAGAATAATTCTGAGCTTACATTTGTAAAAAGATTAAGAAATAAATAATTCAGCATTCTCATTTTATATGTTGCTCTTTTGTTAGTTAGGTTAAAATATTGTTAAAATTAAAAAGGAAATACATAAGTACTTTTTATATGTAAATCAAATGTATGTATAAAATAATGTACTATAGGAGCTTTGCAATATTAAAATTTTAATAAAAAAATTTACAGATAAGCATGACAGATTGAGTTATTTTGAAAAATAAATGAATAAATAAACAAAAATAATAAAACCTAATAAATGAAAATCTTTTTTTAAAAATAATAAAATAGTTTTAAAAATACATAAATATATCTGTAAACATATTTTATGTTGTAGAAATTAATATTTTTGTTAATAAGTTAGTAACTTTTCAATAAAGGCATTAAAATTATTTTCCTAAAAAGTTATTTTCCCCTCTATGCAGATTTTACTCTTCTTTTCAAAAAGTTTTAAATTTAAGGTTTCAAAGTATTTATCATTATTGTTTACTATTCATATCAGGTTGCTGTTAATATGTCGAAAAATAAGCTATGTGGTTAATTCTAGAACATATTAAATATTTAACCTTTTTTTTTTAGTTAAGCACACTTTTCTGTTCTGCATTGTGTTTCATGAAGTTTCTACAATGCATTGTATTAGATTCCTAAGTATTAAAAATTATTAATTTACATTATTTTAAAACATTTCAAAAGTTTATGCAGTTAACTGTTTAAAATTTTATGGTTTCCTTTCTTTTTTTTTTTCTTTTTTTTTTTCAAAGGAAGAATCTACTGAAAAAATGGAATAATAGGTGAGCATATTAATTTTATGAGTATTGAAACAAGAATCTTGTAACTCGTTAATGATATGGGCACCAGAAATTCGAATAAACATTTAAAAGGAACATGTAATCCATTTCCATTATTACATACATTGCAATTATAGTTTTTTTCTGCAAAATATTTCCCCCAATATTACCTAATCTCGTTATACAAAACCTTTTCCATCTAAATTTAAGGACAAAAATCAATTTCTTTTTTTGTGTGTGCGTGAGGGGGGGGGGGGGCTAAATTTTATTTTTCAGATTTTAACATAAACTAGTAAGAATTTTTTTAAATTGGTCCATGTGTAAATTTGAAGTGGAGAACTAGTTCACAACTCAAGTTAGAAACTACCGTATTAGATTAATTGGAAACCCGCAAATAATGTCATCATAGATAAATCATGGCATTTGTCGATTCAGAAACCAATCAGGTTCAACACATACGCATGACGTCGCTTACAGGTATCCAATTAAATCTGATTTAAATCACATGGTTAGGCATAATCACTTCACTTCTTCTTGACCTTCAAGTACCCAATGGGATACCTGCAAGTGACTTAGTGTGGGTATCTTGATCCTGATTGTTTGTTAAAATGTGGCATTTGCTTACGTTAGCAGCTGTTCTTTCCATTCTATTTCAAGTAAGCCGAGCCTATCAAATATCAATTCTCTTAAGCGACGCATTCTATATTCTTACACAAAGATTTCAATTCTTTCAGTAGATATTTCTTACTTAACACGAAGACAGGCATGAAGCTACATCGAACATAAACAAACTAATTATGCCTCAAACTTTGTAGGTACAGAAAACAAAAATATATCACAGTTACAATGAAATACATAAATAATAAATCTCTGGAAATGTATTTAATTAACTTCACGTTAATTAACATTCTATTTTATATGGAGAAACTTAACTCAACTTTAGCACACCGTTTTGCTTATAAATGATCAGGTGGGCCCATGTCTAAGAGGTCGTGGGTTCGATCCCCGCCGGCCGTCGTAAATGGTGACTGACACACGTTAAATCTGTCGAGTCGCAAAGTCTTCCATGATCCCATAACAAATCATACCTCTGAGGGTACTGATCCAAGAGTTTCCTTGTCTTCTAGATTGGTTCAAAATTACAAGACTACGGAGTTGAACATTAGTAGTCCTAAACCCAAAATTGGGTCGGCTGTTCAACGACGGTTATGAAATAAAATAAAATGATCAGCTAGCGCTGACGTCATTGGTTACTTAAAAGTTAACCGTATTACTTTTTGTTGTTGTAGTCAGTATTAATTGAGACAGCAAACACCCTCAATATGTTTCTGGATATATTTAATGATTATGAAGTGACACTCATTTATTTACAAATACATTGTCGACCAAATGTATATCATTTAAATAATAATAAATAACAAACTGAAATGAACAGATGGATCAGATGTCCTCATGAAAAATACATTTTGGGTTTCAATCAAAAGTTCAAGTTAGGCTCGTCAGACCGTTGGCACTGGCACCGTCTGAGAGCCATGGTTGTCATGCGGCCAAACAATGACTTCTTCATCTCTTGCTCTACATAAATGAACATATGCTGATATAGAAATGTCATCATAGATACGAACACAGTCAAGATCTTCAGGACAGTCACATCTGCAACAGTAGTAATTCTATTAGTAACAAGATAAGATTTGTTTAATACGCGGAGTGACATGTCAGTCATCAGTGACTGATAATGTAAAATATGATTTAAAACTAAAATATTTGCATTGACTTAAGTCAGTGTTTCCCAAATTGTGGTACGCGTACCCCCATGGGTACGCATTCTTATGCGAAATATCTTGGAACAAACGGAAATTTCAAAAATTTTTATTTAAAAACAAAGCTAGCCATGAAGAGTTAGCAGTTAATAATTAGTCGTGTCAACAACCAGTTGTGATTATTAACTTTTGTGCAATTTTTTATAGTAAAAAATACACTCATTTTTTTATTAGTGGTAAACAGCGTTACGAAACATTTAGAAGAAAGGGTAGACAAAAGTTATAAGTTTGGGAAACACTGACTTAAGTGATGAACACCCAAGCTACAGGCTGAACTATATCACTGAGTATGAAAAATCAATCAATTGTGCTCTATTAAGCTACAGTGGTTCATGGGACAGAGCGTTCGCCTTCCAGTGAAGTGACCCAGGTTCGAATCCTGGCGGCGACTGGTTGATACAGGGCCGGATTAAGCGTACTCGGGTCCCTAGGCCATTCAAATTTTTGGGGCCTTTCAATTAAGTTGTTTTTCTCGTATATTTTTAATTTATTCAATTATAAAAGTATTTATATATCTTTTCATTTAAGAAAGCATATTTAAAATAAATTATATTTTACTTTATTTTGTTAAATTAGAACTAAAAAATAATCATAAAATTTTGAATATATATTTGAAATTGTTTTTTTTTTTTTAAAAATCATTGTTTTCCTTAATTTTTTTAAAAAATTTTTTCAAAAAATCCATTTTAAGGGGCCCTTAATCATTAACCCCAGGCCATGACCTAGTCTGGCCGAATGGTTAATCCGGCACTGGGTTGCTATGAATTCTGCTCCAAGCCCGCTGACATAACATGAATCCCTTTGCCGTCGGGCTAATCGTGGGAGGTTTTCCTCTCCATGTATCGCAAATGCTGATTATTTCAATAAAAAAAATCTCCATGAAGGCTAGTTTGTCCTGATGTTAGATCCACGAATTCTTTTGTCTTCTGGGTTGTGATCAAGGTTAAGGTGTTGAACATTGATGGTCTCAAAATCATAATTAGGTCAGTTGTTAGACGAACTAAACTAAATACTACTTACTAAATTTAAAAATATCTTACTTGAACAATGCATTTTTAAAATCATAATTTGAACAATTGTTATCTCTATGATTCTTTAAGCTCACTATTTTTAGCGACGAATGTTCAAATATTTCATGTTAACAAAGATGTTACTTTTAAAAAATTTTTAGAAAATATTGTAAATGCAATAAATGATAAAATATTTTCATAAAATTAATCAAAAATGTATAATGAGTTGATAGAATTATTTCTAGATGTAATGTTACGTTAAAATGAAACTTACGGGCTTTTGATGAAATATTCAACATTTCTCCAGAACGGCCTGTAAACTTCCCATCCACAGGGAGTTGATCGAGAGCACCAGATCATTGTTTCTCTTTTCTGAAAATAAAAAAATCTAATTTTAAATTTGTGCAAATTTAATCTTAACAAATGAAAAAATATTTGGTATACTATGAGAGTAATTTGAAGGTTGGCAATCGGAATAACTATTTAGAAAAAGTAGCAAATAAATGTAAAGTTAGGGAATATAACGCGATAATTGTGATAACAAGGGAATGATTCCCGCTGTTCAGCCAATTTTCACCAAAGAAAAGTTGAGTGAACCCCAGTTACAGGAATACCATTGATTCCAGCCAATTGGGTAATTCAATTCGGGTAATTCAATTATACATCGGAGTAAATAAGTCAATTTTAAATGCTATGTTCTTATGAAATTTTATTTAGGAATGGTACTTAGTAGTACGTTGATAATGTTTTGAGGAAATGAACTCATTTTAATTTTCAATAAACAATTATGGTTAAGAGCTGTTGCCGTTAGCTTAACAAAATATAAATAAATTAAATTTATATAAAGATAAATCAATGCTATTGAAAAATATAATATACTAGCCGCCTCCCGACAATCAGCTCCCCCGCCTTTTTAAATAAGTATAATTTCGAGATTTAAAATTGTACAGTCAAATGAATTTTTATATTTTAAATGTTTGTTTGATATCGTGGTGAATTTGTTATTAAAATTTTTCGCACAGCGTATGCTAATTTTTTTTAAAAAGAATGCTAATTGTCTCAATAATGTCTTTGATGAACTAGCAATCAAATTAACAACTTTTTCAAAACTGAACTGTGCACTGTATTAAATAGGCGAATTTCATTTGTAAGGGTTTTTTTCGCTAAAAACAAAACGAATTTTAACTCTTCAAAATTTCATTAAGTTAAAAGAAAATGCAGATCTAAAACAGTAAACAACACATTTTTGAGCTTAAAAAAAATTTAAAAAAGCTAATCTTAATATTTTGACAATTTTTTAATTTTGCCAGTTTTCAGTGAATTTTGATCAACAAGTTTGGACGATTTTTTGAATTTAAATCCAAATCTTCCAATCTTTTTTTTTTTGAACGACACATAATTTGATCCTCTCATAGCATTTGGGAATATTTTCTTGAGAGCATAAAACTTTAGTAAATAGCAAAGATTGGGTGCTTGAAATTAACGTTTATATAATGAAATTTTTTTTTTTTATTCTAAATGAAATTCCGTTCAAGTTGTTATTGCGCATAGCTGGAATATAGTTCCTTAGTTATTACTAGAGCCCGGATTTTGATGACCTAAAAAATCTCAACTAATGCCCTTAAAAAGGGCCAAAAATGCCCTTAAAAATGCAAGAATTGCGCAAAAAATGCCTTAAATAAAGTAAACATATTGAATTAAAAAATATTTTGGTCTTTAAAATTATTATGAGTCATTTAAAAAATATAAAGCAATGCAATACTTGCTCTACGTTCATTAAAGTTTGAAAAATATGTTTTATATCCTAAAATAACAAAAAAAGGAAAATATATTGACACCAAAATATTTTTATTTTGTATAGAAATTTTAATGGATATAACAACTTCCATCTCATAATATTACTAAATATCAGAATTGCATTGGATTATTAAATGTTTCTTGATAATTTGAAATGTAAGCGAGCGTCTCTTGTCTGAAAGTAAATTTTCATTCCTGCAGAAGCTTCTTTCAACGTCTACTGATGTTATAGGTGCGTACTTGAAAAAGACGGTCTCACTTACTTACAATTCTTCTTCAATTTGAAAAGATTTAGCTTCACCTGTTAATATTCTATAGATTTTCTTCATTGTTTGAAAGCCAGTGTAATAATGAAAATTGATTAAAAAAAATAGTAAAAATTGGAAAAAATTAACAAAAAACTTTAAAAAATGCATTAAAATGCAAAATACACCCCAAAATTTAAAGAAAAATGCCCTATAAATCTAAAAAAAAATGCTCTAAAAGACAAAAAATGTCCAAAAATGCATAAAAATGCAAATGTCATCAAAATCCGGGCCTAAGTTATTACCTTGGCAGAAATAATGCGATGCATTTCTAAATAAAGATTAATTGATTAAACAGCTGTCGAATTCTTAATATCTTCATTTGTTTTTACACTCAAACACGGGAAGCGATCGTTGTTTTCAGTGATCCCTTAACTTTTATCACGAGGTAACGATTTCAAATGAAGGACAATAAGTTACATCGTAATAAACAAAGTGAATTGTTTAAACAAAGAGAAAAAGTAAAGACTAGTCAGCTTTGTAATATACTTTTAAAAACCCTATTTTGAGTTTATGCTACTCTTAGTTATATTCCATCAAAATTTAAAAATTGAGATATTTTAGTTATTTTTTAACTGAGTTCATAAAAATCACATTTAAAAAGCATTTTTTTAAATATGGAAGTTTTGGTTTTAAAAGAAAAACTAAATAACTCCTTAAAAATTTGTTCTCAATGCTTGTTAAGAAGGAAAATAAATTCATACTAAGAGGAGATAAAAAAGACTCCAAGAATCACAATTGATAAACTACAACTTTAAAATATTTATTTACTGTCCGGAGCAAGTTGGCATCTCTGGTTCATCTGAAATATTTTTGTTATGGATGCTGGATTATAATGATTCAAATACACATGTTGTGTCAGTAGTATCATTTTCTGATTATCTAAAAATACCACAGAAAAAATAATAGCAAATGAATAATTGCATACCTGCCAATTCTTTCGAATTTTCCGGAGGATTTTACTTTTATATTTAATGTTAATGTGGTATCAAAATTTATATATTGAGTTCTGTAACTTGAATCCGGTTTTAACAGATTTAAATTATTATACATTTTACTACCACTCTATTTAAATAGTTAAATTTTACATATAAAAGTTTGTCAACTATTAATCAGTCCGCGGATATTTTCCCCAGTGGTAATAAAATAAAAGCTGAGTAACAATTATAAATAGAAATATAAATTTTGTCCAGACTAAAAAATAACACCATGTAACTATCATGCTCTTTTATAAATATTAATTCATTTCTATTTAATGGTGGTCAAAATCATTTATAAATCCAAAAAATAAAGAAGAAGCAAAAATTTTACTTGTGAAAATGAAGTTGGACGCAAAATGCGTAAAAGTTAGCAGTTATGGTAATGGAATAAGTGAATCGAGAATTTTGCCATAAAAATTACTTAATTATTTTGCTACCACTTGGAGGAAACTCTTTTAAAGATCGAAAAGGTTGGCAGCTATGCAATCCCTTTTTCGATTATTTCTTGAAAAACTTAAATAATCAACTAATAAAACAGAATAATCACAACGCGAGTGTAACAGTACACAATAATTTTATTTAAAATGTCAACCAGTGGTGTACTAAAGATTTTGGGAACTTGTCCTGTTTTCAAAACGATAAGGTGTGGTTTATAGCGAGACATTCATTTTTGGTATTCAAAACTAAGACAGCTATCTATAGCAATTTGTTATTAACACATTGCAAATGGGTCACGAAAAATTACGCTTTTAACACATTGAATGGCAAGCAAATTTTACATGGCTTGCTCGTCTGGCCACTCGGTAAATAACTACAAATTAAATTTGCAAATATTAGACAGATTTTGCTAGTTTTTTAAAAGGTTTAGCACGACTTATCTGACAGAAGTGGTAAATTATAGAAGCCTACGAATTGTTTAGAAATAGCGGTGTCCCGCAGTGGACTGATCGTTAAGACACGGTTCCCAGCTGATCACCGAAGTCAAGCATCACTGGCTGCGGTCAGTGTGCGGGTGGGTGACCACTTGGATCAGTCTGCGTAGGGACCGAGGGTGTGCGGTATTGGTCCTCGTAAAACGGTGCTACCGTAAAGTGCTCAATTTCGCGTGCAGGTCATTGGGCTACCGAAGCGGGGGCGCCATCCCCTCCGCAGAGGATCAAAATTGTGATGGCATGTCTTCGGATCATCCTCCGGGATGTTTCCCACACCGTCGCCAATAGCCCATTGTGCAGCTCTAGTGCGACCTAAATTAACAACAACAACAACAATAGCGGTGGATAAAAATCTACTAAATTGACTTTGTTAAACCAAGAATCACAATTAATAAACTACCACTTGAAAATATTTATTCGCTGTCCGGAGCAAGTTGGCATCTCTGTGTATATAAATAAAACTATTTCTGTGTGTTCTATATGGCACTAATTTCTTCAAACCATTTTAGTAACTATAATATAAAAAAATTAAAAATTTACTCGAATTATCTTTTTCTAATAATCTTGGCTTCGCCGGTCACCGGTGACCCCCGTGGCGCTACGAATAAACTCAGTGCCGGTCACCGGTGACCCCCGTGGCGCTACGAACAAACTCAGTGCCGGTCACCGGTGACCACCTTGTCATTCAAAGTGTTAAAATTTCTGTGATCCATGCAGAAGTTTAAAAAATGTGGTAGCAAAACTACTTCGTTTCCGCTCTCTTCACAGAAATTATCGATTCGTGATTACGACGAATATAAATGATTCAATATATATGTAATCAGGACTACAATCGTTCGCGTTAATTTTTTTGCAAAATTGAAGTTGTTTTATGAAGAATCATTTAATAGAAAAAAAATTTATAAACTCTAATCAATAAATAGTGTTAATCACTATAGGTTAACCAGTTAATTGCCAAACTCTCGAAACTCATTGAGCGATTTTTTAATAAACCAAAAATTATGAATAGGAATTCAAAAAACAAAATTGTGGTTGAAGTTTCAATAGTAACTGAACAAAATAACTAGATTTACAATCCCCCCCCCCCCCNACCCCCCCCCGAATCAGGAACTTATTATGTTGAACCAAATCTGTGTTAATGTATCAATTGGAATCTTTCAATTAACTTATTTGCTTATCTTCGATTCTGTATCAATCGTAGGAGTTGATGAGCGAAGCGAGCTGGAAGACAAAGCCCACTCTCACTGGTTGTGGTATAAATCAAACTACACGTATAACAATTACTATCAGCTCGTGCACAAGCAATGTTTATTTAATTTTAAGAGTAGTTCTTGATAAGCTCACCACATCCTGTTAAA